TTCTCTCTCTCTTTCTCTCTCTCTCTCTTTCTCTCTCTCTCTCTTTCTCTCTCTATCTCTTTTTCTCTCTCTCTCTATCTATAAAGAGGGGGGAGGGGCATTGCCATGGAAATCAGAAGCTCTTTAGATCTCAAAAGATGGGGGGTTGGCGAGTGCTCTTGAGCTGTTTACTCCTTCCTTCCTCTCCAACATCTATAGTCTTTATCTTTCCTTCTTTTCTTTGCATGTTACTCAAGTAGCACATTGTATCTTGGGGTATAATTGTGTTTCCAGTGCCGTAAAACTCTTACAAAATCAAAGACCACATAAAATCTACTACTAGAGTGATGAGGTATGGCCATGCCACGTTTGAGACAATCCATTAACGCTGGCTCTAAATATTTGACCCGCAGTGTTTTGTCATTGTCCAGCTTTGTTCACTATTTATACTGAACGTCTACTAAATTAGATGAACGTGTCCTATGTGTTGAAAGTTGAATTATCTCCGTTAAAAAAATGGATGAACAAAAACGAATTGATATCTGATGGTGACAAAAACAGAAGTCATTCTGGCAGGCTGTGTCGGTTAATGAGGTCGGTCGCGGTCACGTGAAAATTGGTGATGAGGAAATTGTATTTTTTTAAAACTTTTATGTTTATTGCATCTATTTTGATTCCGACTTGTCAATGTCAGCTGAGATGAACCATTGTGAGTAGCTGCCTGTTTTAATGATAAGAAAGATCTACAAAATATGATATCTTATCAGTTTAAAGTATACAGCTTTATTGGTATACGTTAAGTTTCACGGAAAAGAAAACAAGACTGATACACCTCTGTCATGGACATTGGACAAGCTTCCATTTGGGAAATGAATAATGAACAAGTTGGCTACTCTCTGTCATATCTAGATCTACTTTGATGATAAAGCGTCATTGTAGTTTAAAAATCTGTTGAAACTGTACACTCCAACCAGCAGTTTAAGGTCATCAGCTGTCCAAAACAAATTAAAATTCCCAATATTTCTAAAAATAACGGGTAAAAGGGCATTTGAATTTCTCGGCACCAAGATCTGGAACGCGCTGACTGATGAATTTAGAGGTATCAAATCTTTTTATGCTTTCAAGAGGCAACTCAAGTTTGTTTTTGTTTTTTAATAGTTTATACAAACTCATTAATTTAGGTTCTGAGTCGGGTCACATTTTCTTTTTATGTGCTTTTTAAATGTCAAGAGTTCACAGTCTGTCATTTTTAATCGAAGTTGAGGGTTATATAAATGACATATATGATTTATCACTGTTGTAATGTGTGTTCACGTTTTGTAATTTCCACCGTGGTAGTCATTGGGTGTGGGTGAATGTGTGTATGTTTGTATGTGTGTGAGTGTGTGCATGTGTGCATGTGCGTGTGTGTGTATGTGTATGAGCAAGCAAGAGAGAGAGAGTGTGTGTGGATGTGTGTGAATGTGTGTATGCATGTATGTGTGTGTGCATGTGTGCATGTGTGCATGAGTTTGTGCATGTGTATGTGTGCGAGCGAGCGAGCGAGAGAGAGAGACAAAGAGACAGAGAGAGAGAGAGAAAGGGAGAGTGTGTGTGTGTGTGTGTGTGTGTTTGTGTGTGTGTGAGTGTGTATGTGTGCACGTGTGTACGTGCATGTGCGTGTGTGAGTGTATGTATGTATGTATGTGTGTGTGTGTGTGTGTGTGTGTGTGTGTGTGCGCGTCTGTCTTTCGGTCTGTGTACGTGTGTGTCTGTGTGTGTGTGT